ATACATATAGTTATATACATAGATATACGAAAAGTCATTTCGAAGCATGAAGATATACCCTAAGAGACTCTAGCATTCAAATCAGGGAACCGACTCGACAAATAGGGGTACACACAATCAACAGTCATAATCAAGCATATACAATTCTCACATAGGGCACAGTTATAGATAAGCACAACCAATAATCACAATTAAGCATTACTAGCAAGAGCCCTATGGTCACGTTTCCATAACAGTCATATCATCAATTCTTCTCATCTCATCACATAGCACACTTTGTTGGCGCCACAGGACCAATCGCATGTCCATACATGAGGGTCAGCGCATATAGCTCTGACACGGCCCCGCAGCACCCTGCCCCGTCTCACAATACGAAGGGGTCGATCGCAACCGACCGATGAACCGCAGCTCTATATAATATTTATATACCTGACCAGTCTTTACCAGCCTGGTTAACAGTTGGGATGGTTCTCAACCCATTCAACTGCCCGTATTGTGGACCTTTGTCCTATATAATATTTATATACCTGACCGGTCTATACCAGCCCGGTTAACAGTTGGGATGGTTCTCAACCCATTCAACTGCCCGTATAGTGGACCTTAGTCCTATATAATATTTATATACCTGACCGGTCTCTACCAGCCTGGTTAACAGCCGGTATGGTTCTCAGCCCACCCGACTGCCCGTATAGCCCGATTGATCTCAACCAAATCGGGGTAACATGCACACATAACACATAGCAAGCACATGCAACCCATATTAGCACATTAGGAAGGGGGAGAAAACGTATAACAAAACCTATGCGTGACCCTTCACATTTTAAGAATAGTCCTAAGGGGTTCATACTTCTTTCACCTAGGTCAACGGGATACCAATTCAACTAGCATGCAATATATAAGACTCATACGACCTACGAACGGTACCCGAAAATCAAACTAGACATAGGCACGATAGACGGAGTCCGTTGGGACACCACGGGGGTCGGGGGAACATCAAACGGGGAAGCCGGGGTCCCGAAGTGTGGGAATTTCCAGCGGGTAGCCGGTGGGTGGGGGTTCACCCGCCGGTATTTACTGTTCCGGGTAGCGGGTGCTCGGTGGGCAGCTGCCCGCTGCCGGAGCTCCCCTTTTTGGCCGCGGGTAGGTGGCGGGTCCCCTACCCCCACCTACCCCCCACTGACTCTTTTCACCAAAAAACGCCCCGGGAACCTTTGTGGAACCCGAAACCATGCTTAGATACTTTCAAACGCAATTGATAACACACGTAGACAATTAACGGATCAAAATCAAGAAACAAACGGCACATAACCTATCATGCTTTTCTAAACATAATAAACACCCAATCATGCGAAATCCCACCCAATATACCAAGAATAATACCATACGAATTCCACGATATAACCTAGGGTTCTAATTATTTTTAAATCAACAAGAACACAATTCATCTTCCAAAATCAAGATTCGGTAGGAATATCATATAACTATCAAGAACCTCATATAATCATTAAGAACATCAAGAACACCATGTAATTATCAAGAACGTCATATAATCATCAAGAACACCATAATTATCAAGAACCTTTCATCATCAAGATCACCCATGGAAATCATCCCACCAATCATCAATAATAGTATCACAAATCATCAATACACAATAATATGGGGAAATCCTAAGAGGGGAATCATAACTAAGAAAATAGGTTTTGTTGAGACATGGGTTACCTCTTAGCCTTAATTAATTCCTTGGCTATGAAGGGTCTTCCTTTAAGTTTTCTTCTTTCTTGATTTCTCCTAAGGGGATTCTTGGAACTTCTTGTGTGGTGAGAGATTATTGTGGTGAAAGATCTAGGTGCCTTCTATATCCCTATTTATATATTTAAGACTCCTAATTAGGGCCTGAATGGTATGGGTTTACTAATTCTATTCCTTATAGGACTAAGGACTTGTTTTAGGGATAAGGGTCCATGGCCCATAGTGGACCATATTAATTAATTAAAGAGGATCCTAATCATAATCTGAATAGTAAAAGGCCTACTTCCTTTATTCCTAATAGGCATAAGATTCTCATTTAGGCAAGGGTCCACGGTTCATGGTGGACCTCATTAATTAATTAAAGGGAAACCTAACCGAATTAAATCATATTTAATTATTATTCACGGGATTAATTAAATAATTAATCCGGGATTGAAGGCCGTAACACGGGGTGTTACAGTAGCCTCGGCTAAGTGTGGTCTAGAGCCCGATTCTCTCTAACAAGGAGGATACCTCATGAGCTCGTCCAAGAAGAGGACGCATCATGGGGGCCACCTCATGAGCTCGCCCAAGAAGAGGACGTAGCAAGGGGGTTACCTCATGAGCTCGCTCAAGAGGAGGACGCATCAAGGGGGCTACATCATGAGCTCGCCCAAGAAGAGGATCGCTACCTCTTGAGCTCACCCAAAAGTGAACTCAGAAATCACTGTCTCATACACGATGCGAAGGAGTCCAAGACTTGTTAGTGTTCTTGCGGAAGAGAATGAGTCCCGATCGTGATGAATCACACCAAAGTCGGCCAAAGAGGAAGGAGGCGGGGCGGACGTCTTCCCGTGGGCTTGGGGTCGACCTTCCACTCGAGCTACTCTCTTTCGTTGAAGAAGACTCACAACTCAGAGAGTGGGGGACTCATGATTGATATATTAGGAGAAATGACTAGAGGCAAATTGACCCGGGGGTCGCGGCGTGATGCGATGGGCCTGGGAGACTCCAACTGGGTCCCCGGCGTAGACCTCGGCTGAGGTCTACTCCGTGAACCCCAGTTGGGGATGACCTCTGTGGCGGCCAAGGTCAGAGTCAACCTCGGCGTCAGCCTCGGCCGGGGTCGACCTCGTGGTCGACCCCGGTTGGGGTTGGCCTCGGCCAGCTGAGGTTAGGCGGTCACGCGGGGCATCCTCGCGTGACTCGGTCAACTAAGATCCAACCGCCCGCCCTATTCTCTTGGGGTCGGTTGGGAGGATTATTTAGTATAAAAAGACATCTCCTTGTCTTGTTAGGGGATCTACACTTTATCTCACTATTACACTCCTTGTAATTCCCCTACAAGAGATTATTAATAGAACAGTTGTCCCCACGGCATATACTTTCATTGCCTTTTCCTATTTATTATTTATTGGGTTTAGTGATTCGGGTCTACCCCAGGGAATTAAATCCATCAGGAATGTTCCTATGTGAATATATCATCGTCTACACAAACAGTAGTACAGTTCAAAAATATCGTGTTCTACCGAGCAGCTAGTAGAGTAAATGTATCTTTACAAGGAAAAGTTCAAAGGATGACACATACCTTTCCTATGTAGGGATGAACTATTAAACATAGGCATAATGTTTTTCAATCCCGAAAAATCAGTTTCCATTCATGTGGGAGATTCTTGGTAATTTTTAGCAAAAATGGCATTGTATGTGTCTATTTTGTAGTACAAATATATGTGGGAACCACTTTTTATTGGGACGGATAAAAGTGGATCCAAGTTATGCTAAGTGAGACGAAAAAGTTGATATATTGTATGCTTAAAATAGATCATGAGTGAATGAGAAATTGATTCACAAAGTAAAACCATTTGATAAGTCGAATGTACCTTGCGGTGCTTTGTAAGCAAGTGCTTTAATTAAGCACTAAACGATGCTTTATAAATAAGTACCAAACGGTGATATGTAATTGAGAACCAAAAGGTGGTATGTAATTAAACACCAAAATGTGCTATGTATATTAAGCACTGAATGGTGCTATGTTAAGCACCAAACCGTGGCACTTTCTTAAGCACTACGAAGTGCTTTATTGAAAGGTAATCACCATTTCGATGAGCACGTCTTGGTGCATGATTGAACGGTGCGGACTTCCCCTCTTTGAACTTCTTGATATGTAACCTTCAAGTTTCACCATTTGGCGTACCATTTCTAGAACACGTTAATTATGATCCATAGAAATCAATTTTGAGCTAATTTCAATTTTAAATTTAAGAATTAACATTTGTAACTAATGTGTTAATTTCCAGATTAAATATGTCTGTTATGGAGGTTACAAATCTAATTTTGAATAAGATGTTAAATACCTTGGTTTTGGCAAACTGTTTTGAGTGTTGATTTTAGAATATGAAAACATTGATTCTCCCCTCTCCCCCTCGATTTTTTAAAACTGGCACTATACTTACTTCTCAGGAGGTCACCCATCATGTGACTGCTGTAAGTCAAACACGCTTAACCACAAAGTTCTTTGGCTATCTAGTTGCTATATCCTACTTAAAACCAATTGGTGATAAGTAGGTGGACATTAATCATTTAACCACATCCCTCCCATGTTAAGCCACATCATCATGTATCGAATCAAGTAGGGGCTGAACTCGACTAACCAGCCAACGCCCAACATTTTGTACCGTTGACCTGTGGAGATATTTTCTAAAAAATTAAATCCCGTTACTATTTATATTTTTTACATTTTTTACATAAATTGTTTTATCGAGTTATTATTCTTTCTTAAATGCAATATGCAAAATATATATATATATTATAAATTATTTCATTCAAAATTGTCTAAATTTCATTTTCTGACGCAACGACATAAATGTAAAATGTGTGAAAATTTATCCCATTAAAATAATAACATTCTAATATTCTTTCTAATTAATTTTTTTTTCAAACCGATATTCTATAAATGGGGTCATGTCAACTTCATTACAATTAAACAAGTACGAGAATTAGCTCCGCGCTTTCTGTTCAAATCACTGGACATTCTAATGGTGTCGTCTTCTACACCTTCATGGTATTTGATAATTTTCTCTTTACATGATTTTCATAGACTTAGTTTTTTAAACAAAAGTTATTTGTCCAAAATTTCATAAATATAAAAAAAAAAAAAATTGTATGATTTCTCCAAGAGCGCTATGAAATTTTTGATTCATATAGAATATATTTCTTTCTGTTAAATGAAAAAAAAAATTACTTGTTCTACCATCATCACTTGTTGCCAGGGGACGTTTGGTGTCTAATAATGAAGATAGTGGGAACAGACATCAATTAACTCCGCCCTCATCTTTCCAAGTATGTTGCTTTAATCTTTATTCACTTTTATATTAATTGTTCACTTTTTCTCTATTTGAATTTATGATGCTTTATGTTTATTTAATACTTTTTAAAAAAAATAATGATAAATTTGTGTAGAGCGTTTGGCATTCACATTCCTTTGAGCCTCGTCAATTTCAACAAGCTTTACCAATGTCTGATCAGTCGAATGCTATCAACTTACATCCAACATCCGAATCGGAATCATCAAGGTATATATGTTTTTTTTCTCTTTATATAAATATTTTTTTATCCCTGATCTCTTGATGATGAGGTTTGATTTCAATTGTAATATATGCTTATGCTAAGAATATTTTTGTTATATCTAAGTAAAATTAATTTCTATAATTTTCTTTTGTGTAACTTGGGTTATTAGGTGGTTAGGGTTTACAATATATAATTGATAAGATTGATGTTAAAAAAAAAATTTGGATATACTTGTATTCTTGTTTTTCTTTTTTTAACACATGCATCAAAGGAGGTTAATCTGTGGTCATTTTTTTATATGATTTATTTTTTTTAAACACATCTAAGAAGGTTAATATGTGATCCTTCTTTTATATGATATTTTATGCTCATGTTGTTCGATCACAAAATCTTTCATATATCGTTTTGTGCTTGATGCTATCATGATTCAACATGGGATGTGTAATCACTAAAAATGACTAAATTGGACATGTGTTGATCAAGCATTATATGGTTGCAAAATTTATCAATTGAAAGATTTCACTCAATTAGATATAATTACTTGAATTTTGGTTTAAAACTAAATGGGTAAACTTCATAATTATGTTATCATTAGACAGAAATTGAGGGTTTGTGAATTGAAATATGATTTCTATCCACATACTTTTCTATCTACTGATGTAATAGGTCTTGACAATAATAAATTAGTAATTTCTTAGAATCAATAATTTCTATCTATTATTCTGTATAGGACTCATCTTGTATTTTATATCTTTTCTGTTCCTATTATCAGTAATACACTGAATTACGTTCTCATCCTATATACCGAAAAAAAGGACAAAAAAATGGAAGGACAATTTAAGGGCCTTGTAGAAATTAAACTTTTCCTTTATTACTCAAAAAATGGACAAAAACATTTCGAGTTTTACTAAATGTACTCCTAAATTTACTCGCTCACTTTTACTTTCTAATGTAGCAGACAATGATAGGCTATGGAGACTGAATGGATAGTTAGGATTCTGCAATTTTCCAATTATATATGATAGAACCCATTTAATATAGTAATCAAGTATCTACAGCAAAACACCTAGGTTTATTAACGATAATGTCTTGGATAGTGAACAACATCTATTAAACCTTTTTTCTTTAAAAAAAAATCTGTTATTAAACCTCTTGTCTAATTAGATACAAGTTGAAATAAAACACATATACAATTTAGACCCCCTCAAGATGAATTTGAGAAAGTTCATATATTCATAATATTGTATATATGTAAAATTAATAATTAAGATGATGACCCTCTCAAGAAGTTATAGTTTGAAAATTTAATTAATATTAACTTTTTTTTGAATGCTTAATATTAACTTAATACACTATAAAATTCTTAAAACTAAAATGTTATATGAGTTTTAAAATTCCTAAAATATCAAAATGTAAAGGTATGTATGTATGTATAGAAATTAACATTGTATATATATCACTATTTTTAAAGAAATTATTTTGAAACATTTGTCTTTTGTTGTCAGGGTTGTGCCTAACTCTGCATTTGGAGGCATTAATCATTTGCAGTTGCCTATAACTTCCAAGATTGTTTACTTTTCTTAAATAAACTTATTTATTAATTTATTTCTTTTAAATTAATTTTTTTTAAACTCTGCATCTAAATTATATGAAGGGGTAGCAAATTAACACAACCCCAATGCGACCATTTATGTTCCAGTACCTTGATCGTTACTCTATAATGACTGAATCTGTTCCCCCTCCAAGGTACTCTTATTATTATTATTATTATTATTATTTTATTATTATTATTATTATGTACAATTTTTTTGTAAAATTGTAGGTAACACAAAATATTGGATTTTGTTTTGAATTCCAGGACTTCCTTGAGCTCTTTGAGTGAAGAATCAAGTAACATTACTAGAAACGCAACGCCTTCACTAACGGTATATTTTTTTCCTACCTCATATTATTATTTGTTCTTAGTTTTATAAAATTATTTTTAACAGTTTTTATTTTTATTTTTGATATTTTAAGCATTCAACAATGCCACCAATGGATAGTCAACCAAGCTTGTCTCCTATTGTATGTATATATGACTGTTAAATAACTCATTTGACACTTCCAATAAATATTTATGTAACATATATGATATAGATTTTTCAATTATTGTCAATAAAAACATCTGAAGTCATCAATGTTGGATGATATATATTTTATTTACTGATTTATTTCTTTTTTTTTTTAATTAGTTAAACTCCACATCTGAAATATATATAGGGGCAGTAAATTAACACAGCCCCAATGCAACCATTTATGTTCTAGTACCTTGGTCCTAACTCTACAACGACTGGATCTGTTTCCCCTCAAAGGTACTCTATCTTATTATTATTATTATTATTATTATTATTATTATTATTATTATTATTATTATTGTTGTTGTTGTTGTTGTTGTTGTTGTTGTTGTTGTTGTTGTTGTTGTTATTGTTGTTGTTGTTATAATGGTTTTGTCACATTTAGTCTTAAACTTTCAAATTGATCATCTGTAGTGCTTTGACTTTCAAATTGTTACCATCCATGGTCCAAGTAACCACTTATGGTTCTTCAACTTTCAAAATTTAACCAGCCCTAGTCTTCTTAAAAGGACCATAGCTGGTTAAAATTTGATAGTTGAAGGATCATTGATAGTTAATTTGGACCACGAATAGTAACAATTTGAAAGTGAGAGGATCATGGATAATCAATTTAAAAGTTTTGGATTAAACATGACAAAACCAACCACTATACTCAGAGGATCTCACGAGATGTGTACTCAAACTTTTATTAATAAAATTGTTGGTAACAGAAAATATTGGATTTTGTTTTGAATTCTAGGGCTTCGTTGTTCATTTTGAATGAAGATTCAGAGTATGTTATTAATCCAAACCCAATAATTCCATCACAGTATATTACTACAAACGCAAGACCTCCACTAAGGGTACATTTTTTCACTAGGCTTGTATCCTATTGTATATTCTGTTAAATAACACTCATTTCACACTTCCTATAAATATTTATGTAATATATATGAAACAGATTTTTCAATTATTGTAAATAAAAACATCTGAAGTTATAAATTTTGGATGACATATATTTTAGTCTAATGTTTAAATCATGTTTATTTATGGTTTTATGAAGGAGCTTGATTTTGGACTAGTTAATGATTTGTGTACATCTCGAGGATTAGGCGTGGATCTCGAGGAGGAGGAAGGGCAAACCGCGCTATAAAAGTAACTTTACTCATCAAGATATATATAAATTTCTAGAGTTTTATAATGTTTTTTTATTACATTGCTATTTTTTTTTTACCAAAAAACAAAAGAAAATAAAAAAAGAAATTTTTTTGTCATTTGTTACTTTTTCCTACTGTTTTGTTTTTTCTATACCTATAGATTGATATGACTAAAATGTTTTCTCCTTTTTCATCTGTAAGAATTCTTTTAATAAATAACAATATCTATTTATATTTTATACATACTCGTATTCTTATATATTAAGTTGTGTATCACTACTATATATTGAATAGCTTGTGTAGTTGTGTTCTACTCTATTGTTTGTAAATAAATTATGTATATAATTGTCAACTACTATATAGTGTGATGACACATCTGTTATCATTCCAAATGATCGAGTTGTCATCAGGGCCGGTCCTATTATTTTATAGGCCCGGGGCATAACAAAAGAAATAGGCCCTACCTGTTGTTAACCAATCGTTATGATGTGCATGGTGCACACGGTTGCGAACGACGCCGTTTCACTATGGTGGAGTAACGGTGCCGTTAGTGGCACCGTTTAACTCCACCAATCATTTTTTTAACTCCAATCGACGGGATTTCCACCATTTTCAGCGTGGACATATAGTCCACTAATTCTGGATATATAGTTCATTAATTCTGGATACATAGTTCACTAATTCTGGATATATAGTTCATTAATTCTGAATATATAGTTCACTAATTCTGAATTTATATTTCATTAATTCTGAATATATAGTTCATTCATTCTGAACACACAGATGCAGTGAACTGGCCATCCATTTAAAATAATAATCGAGATGCCATCACACTACATGATAGTTGGCACAAATCTTATTTATTTATATGTTTTTATAAATTTTTTTCCATTAACTAGATATTCATTAAAAAAAATCTCCCTTTTCAACATTCTGATATTGTTTTCAAAAAACATTCTATTATATAGTCTCACAAATCAGGGGGTTTTGTTGACAATTTTTTTTTTTTTTGAATAAATAGCATTTAGAATGGTTATGAACTTATGATTATTTGAGTAAAATAATTTAAATAGAAAGCATATTATAAATGACAAATGTTATTTATTTATATGTTTTTAGAAATACTATTTATTTATATGTTTTTAGGAATACTTTTAGCATTAACTAGAAAACAAAAAAGAAAAAAAATAAAGCGGAGAAGGAGGCATTTGGATTTCAATTTTCAACATTCTATGAACAAAGTAGAAGATGATGGATTTGACCCCATGTCCTTTTGGTTTCACTGCGCTTCAATATAGGCACCACCCAAACAGACAACCTCACCTTTGTATGAGCTAAATGCATATCAACTACTTATATTATAAACTATATATAAAAGGAATAGGTGCTGTGTGGGCCCCCCTCTAGGCATGGGCCCTGGGCAAGGGCCTAGCCCCCCTTGCCCAGGGCTGGGCCTGGTTGTAATAGAGATACAATCTTAGAAAGAATTATGAGCGCTTCATAAAAAATTTGCAGGGCCGCAGTCGTGGAAATCGTGGGAGAAGATCCTCTCAAATATTTGCTGGCTCATCCTCACGCTCTGGGGTATGTCCTCTAAATTAACCCTTCCAATATTATTAAATTTTGTTATCAAGAAACATTTTTATTATCAATTTGGTAAGAA